ACAACTCACCACATAACTCATACAACCTGCTTACAATTTGAGTTGTACTGTGTAAATCAAGCACACAACTCACCACATAACTCATGCAACCTGCTTACAATTTGTGTTGTACTGTGTAAATCAAGCACACAACTCACCACATAACTCATGCAACCTGCTTACAATTTGAGTTGTACTGTGTAAATCAAGCACACAACTCACCACATAACTCATGCAACCTGCTTACAATTTGTGTTGTACTGTGTAAATCAAGCACACAACTCACCACATAACTCATGCAACCTGCTTACAATTTGTGTTGTACTGTGTAAATCAAGCACACAACTCACCACATAACTCATGCAACCTGCTTACACTTTGAGTTGTACTGTGTAAATCAAGCACACAACTCACCACATAACTCATGCAACCTGCTTACAATTTGAGTTGTACTGTGTAAATCAAGCACACAACTCACCACATAACTCATGCAACCTGCTTACAATTTGAGTTGTACTGTGTAAATCAAGCACACAACTCACCACATAATTCATGCAACCTGCTTACAATTTGAGTTGTACTGTGTAAATCAAGCACACAACTCACCACATAACTCATGCAACCTGCTTACAATTTGAGTTGTACTGTGTAAATCAAGCACACAACTCACCACATAACTCATGCAACCTGCTTACATTTGGTTGTACTGTGTAAATCAAGCACACAACTCACCACATAACTCATGCAACCTGCTTACAATTTGGTTGTACTGTGTAAATCAAGCACACAACTCACCACAAACTCAGCAACCTGCTTACAATTTGAGTTGTACTGTGTAAATCAAGCACACAACTCACCACATAACTCATGCAACCTGCTTACAATTTGAGTTGTACTGTGTAAATCAAGCACACAACTCACCACATAACTCATGCAACCTGCTTACAATTTGTGTTGTACTGTGTAAATCAAGCACACAACTCACTACATAACTCATGCAACCTGCTTACAATTTGTGTTGTACTGTGTAAATCAAGCACACAACTCACCACATAACTCATGCAACCTGCTTACAATTTGAGTTGTACTGTGTAAATCAAGCACACAACTCACCACATAACTCATGCAACCTGCTTACAATTTG